GGCCGAGGGGGCGGCTCGCACGTTGTCATTATAGAGGTGGCGCGGCGGCTGGCTGTCGTCAGATCCCTTGTACCGGCGCTAGCTGGCGGTTGGTTCACGTCTCGCAGTGATCCAAGAGCGTGTCTTTGAGTCGTGCGCCCAGAGTGTCCCGCGCACCGCGTGCCAAGCCCTTCTGAACGGAATATCAGCCCGTCCGGTGAGTGCGAGTGCCTGTGTGGTGTGAATGTGCGAGTGCGGAAGTGTGACGCGAGCCCGGTCGTCGTGTCCTGTGACGTGGTCCTGACCGCCCCGGGTCCCGGTGTCCCGAGATGAGCTGCTGCTCGGCGCGCCCCTCCCTCGCCGGCCACGCTGCTGACCCTCTGCTGTACAGACGGCGTCCTTCTCTGATCTCCTTCGTGAAGAAGTTGTTCGCAACGGGTTAGCCAGCCGGCCGCCGCCGATGTCACGGCGCACTCCGCGTCCGGGGCCGCGGGCGGCAGCAGCGCGTCGACGCGGAGGTGTTAAACACGCGGTCCCGGCGCGGAGGAGCGGTGCGCCTCGTTTAAATAGATGTGCTAATTAGGGCGGTCGGGCCGGCGGAAGGCGGAAGGATATCGCGCTGACCCGACATATCGATTTGATCAAAACGGGTTTCATTTGAATTTGCCGCCGCGAGCGAGAGACATGACATTAGCATGTGTAACGCGGCCGTTTTATCAGGAATAGACACGAAACAAGCGGCGTTTCATCTCATAAAAGTAATCGACATAATTGATTCGCGAAACGATTGCTCGTCAAACTGTGCCCGCGTTGAGGTACAATCAATTCAGGGACTACCGAACACAACTACTACTTTAAGTACTTTAAGTACATGAATATGTGACGATCTCAACTGTCCTACAAAAAGTATGACAGTTATAACAAGTGAACAAAAGGTTGAAAGCAGAAGCCTTCAACTTGTACAGTACTAGGTTTACCGAATATTGTCAACTGGTTTTAACTTTGGTTTTAATTGTTTTAATTGTCGCGCAATTGTCGCACAGTATTTTTCTATATAATTTTTACTGTAGAGTAATAATAGTCTTAATTATATTGCCGAGTCAAACGTTAGGAAGGTATAAACATTATTCCCCGCCAGAGCAAGATGAAATGAA